TCCAACCTTGTCGTGGTAGTCCCTATTATTTTATCGGGCACACTCGTTCGCACTTCTCCGTGGTTTTCTGGATTTTTTGTCGTGGTTCCATAGGAATAACCTGTCGTGTATCCGCTATTCGTTGACTAAGTTATGCTACAGTAGAAGGCAATCGACAAGCACTAGCGACGCTCATTGATGCCAATAAATTTTATCGTACATGCTTGTGTTGTACCGATGTGGGAATCAAAAGTTGTGTAACTAGTGGATTCTACATATAGACTTCGAAGTTTACTCAAAAAATATATGCCCAGAATCTCTTACCGACAAGGGATAAAAGGTACTAAAAGGGGCATTTCTGATTCGTTCGCCGTCATCAGCCAGCAGCACCCAATTCTAGGAGCTGGAGTCGTAGAAATTTGAACACGATTTCAGTGAATTACTGAGCACTTACATAAAACATCCTATCCATTCGAGCTATCGGAATAGCTCGAAATAGGCAAAGCCAACTGAGGGTTGCGTTATCGAAGCCATTTTGAAAGGCAGAATGGGTAAGGCTAGTTCTGTTGAAGCTCCCGATCTGGAGTCCAATCTGGGGGCTGTCAAGTAGTGACAACCAATTAAGATTTGCTTAATTTATTTGACCCCATTGTGAAACAACTCGCGGCGTTTGGCTGGAGTCGATCTAAGTGTGATTAAATTCACGGCGAAAGGCGTGGCGTTTGTAGCTCAAGTGGTAGTGTTGGCTGCGTAAAGGCCTTCTCTGCTATGCGGATTCGACTCTCGCCAAACGCCGCGAGTTTTTGGGTCAACTAAATCAATTAAGTATCTTCAGTTGATGAAAATTAGCGTTTCCTTAAAAACTCGCTCTTCGGGGTAACCCCCGACTCGTGTCTAACTTTACTGACTAACAGTGAAGCATAAATGTGACAAGGTGATTCACTGTTTCCAGTCAGAAATTGCCAGGGCTGTTCTGCTGCGTCTTGTTCGAGACTTACTTAAAAGGGCGGTCCTCAAAAGAAGACGTGATCAAAAGGAATGCCAGTTAGGACTACCGCTAGCGTACTCCAGACGCACAAATGATGAATGAAAAATCAGACCTTCCGTGTCTTGAGCTAAACTCACACACAACCTGCTTGCTATTGCTAAGTTTCTGACAGCTCAATAGCTTACCTGGCCTCTGGCACCAAACGCACCCCTAGACTTCGATTACGATACTTCGAGTTTCGCTAGTGCAAGTAATATCGATCCAAGTGTGATTAAATTCACGGCTCACGGTGAGCCTCGTAGTTCAATAGATGCGCAAAAGCCTTGCCTGCTGTGTGGGTTTGACCCCCCACCGAGATCGCGAATTTTTCACAATTGG